AATGATCCTTGAATTATAGATGCTCTAAATATTTCATGAAGAATGTTTTTGATAATGTCGTAAGAGTCGATTATAATATTTCCATTAATGCCAGCATATCCTGTTGCCTTATTTCTTTTTAATGATTTAAAAGCATCATCAAATTCGTTATAAGTTAAATCAGGATAATTTATGTTTGAATTACTGAGATTTTGTGCATCATTGACATGTTTATCGTTTATATTTGGAATACTGTTAGATAATTTTGTTCCTATAGTTCTAAAATGTTTATTCAATTCGATTGCAATATCATTTGATTCAGTTAATATAGTTTTTTCAATTTTCAATGTATGTGGTAGCGAAGTAGCATTATTTTTTATTTTCCCTGTGATTTCTTTTATTATTTGCCATACGCGCTTTGAATCATGTTTGTATTTGTTAAACAAGTCAGAATAGTATTTTTTTTTTGGCGTGTTTGCGAAGTTTTTCAAATAGGTTTTTGTTGGTTTGGTAATTTATTTTGTGTTTTTAGGATTTAGATTTAAGTACTTAAAGTTTTTGCTTGATTTTTTAAGACCTTTAGAAATCCAAGGAGATAGTATGTCTTTTGTTTTTAGAGTTATTTCACAAAAGAGAAAATTTACATCATAGACTTTATAGAATGTTTTTAAAAAGGTACTGTATATAATGTGTATATCTGAATCAAAGTTGATATGGTTCCAGTCAATTAATGAAAGTTGTTCTTTAAAGGCGATTAAATTTTTATTGTTGTATATTCGCTTTTTTATTTTTATTTTTTCATTGTTTAATCGTTTAGAATCTATGCTTATAGAAAAAAATACAGGAAAATGGTTGGAGACGTCGGTTTTAATTATTCCCTCTTTTAGTGATTTGTTGAAAAAATCAGTAGTTAAGATTTTGTCAATTAATGACGATGGGGAGTTTGTAATTCTAGTCGGTAATTTGAATGTAATTATAAAAACTTGAATGTAATCATAAAATATCAAACATTGAGAGACAAAAAATCTAATATTTCAAGTTTGTTTATGAAGCATCATCGTATATTTTAAACTGAATATTTTAACAATTAGGGTCATTTCCACACCTACCGTGAGTCGACACTTATCGTAGGTTTTACATACATAAATTTTGCAAAAAGTAGTAACTTTTTTTTTATATATATATTTTGTGTATCAACAACATCGTGTACTTCTATTACAATACATAGAAACCGCAATACATAGTTACTTATATAAACTCAGTGGGTTTATTACGTCAGACTTTGAAAATACTTTTTTTTTTAAGTAACAGCTGTTAGAAGCGTTTCAAATAAAACTAGGAAATTTAAGATTTAAGAAGATAACATAAAATTTTATTTTTAAATTGACTTAATCATGTAAATAAAACATGAATCATTATTAATATTATTAAAACCTATTATTATTATAGTATCAATGTAGTATTTTTGAATGTACGAGAAGTATGAACTAAAAAAAATGTCATTACATACATATCGTATGTCCAATAAATAATCAATTTGTTTCTTTTTTACTATAAAAATAAATATTATTTTACTTAGACTCGTTTACAATGGCAAGACAAAAATATAAAATAAAAGATTGTAGCTCAAAACGAAGACTTCAATATACTGATAGTCACGTGATGCTATAAATGCTGTTAAAAAAGATATGGTTGGGTACAAAGCGAGTAAGACGTTTGGAATTCCATATCAGATGCTTCGTGATAAAATATTTGGAAGAACTTCTTTGAAGAACAAATTGAAAACAAGTTAGTCAAGTGGTTACTAACATGCACCAGAAAGGGATTTGCAATGTTTGTAGATACTGTGCAAAAATATTTGAATTCTAACAATGTAAAATCACAATTTACTAACAACCGTCCTACAAAAGGTTGCATTTCTTCGCCGTCATAAATAGCTCAAAAACGAAGCGAATACTTAAACTGAGCTAGAGGAGGAATAACTGAAAAAGCAAAAAGAGATTGGTTTACTGAAATTCCGAAGCTTTTAGGAGAAAAAGCTCAATATTAAATGATTCGATGCGCGTTTTCAATATGGATGAGAGTGGTTTTTAGTTGTCACCAAAAACTAATTTATTAATTGGTGAACGAGGAAAAAATACATATGAAGAAAGTGTTCGAAATAATAAAAAAAGCATCACCACTTTATTTGCAGTAAATGCTAGCGGAACGTTTGCTTCATCATTAACAATTTTTAAAAAAGTTCGTCTTCCAAATAAAACTATAAATGCTGCTCCATCAAGATGGGGTATTGGAAAAAGTGAAAATGGTTAGATAAACGCAGAATGATTTTTTGAGTATATTACAAACATTTTTCATCCATTTTTCATAAGAGAAGAAATTCCTTAACCAGTTATTTATTTATTTTTTTTTGATGGTCATGCGTCACATTTTTCTATCGAACTTAGGGAGTTTTTCTCTAAAAATGGAATAATTCTTGTTGCTTTGTTCCCAAATGCAACACATATTTTGCAGCCGCTCGATGTGGCAGTTTTTAGGCCAATGAAAGCAAAACGGAAATCTTTTTGCCAACAATGGAGCATTGACCATGAAGGACAAGAAATAAAAAATGAAAATGTACCAGAAGCATTAAATTCTATTATATTCGACCCTTCTTTGAAAAATAATATTAAAAGTGGTTTTAAAAATACCAATTTTTCCATTTGATGCTAATAGTGTTGATTACAAAAAAATTGTTCGAAATTTATCTGGGGTAACTGTGGCGCCGGCTCCTTATTTAGAAGAGAACCATTAAGTGTGGTTTTATCAGCTTCCTCTTCCATAATCTTTACTGAAAAGTGCATTGATTTAAGTATTTTAGAGCAGTTTAAAATGGCTGACGAATATTTAGGTTGGAAAGGTGATCTTGAATACCTCCAGTTGTATCATTTTTGGAAAAGAGGTAAAAGTATGGTCTTAGCTGAAGCATATAAGACCATTCAGATAATGTGGCAGCAAATTCAAAACATCTGAAGCATATAAGACCATACTTTTACCTGGTGAAACAAAACAGGGTATAAATAAAAATCTATCAACAACTTGTAATTTAGAAAATGTGCAAGGTATAACCAATATGAAAATGCCTGATTGCATTATTGCAACTGTAATAAAACGACAACTAGCTTGTTTCAGTTTAAAATTAGCAGCAGAAATCATTATTCAAATTGAAAGTGTTTTAATATAGCCAAAGCAACCAGTCCAAATGTCCGAGCGCAAAGTAGAACGTTTACAATCGGTTGTAACATCTGAAACGTGGCAGCAAATTCAGAAGACAAAAGTGCAAGAAAAGTCACGTATAAAGGATGAATAATTAAGAAAGAAACAATTAGCTGCAGATAAAAAAGTCAAAATTAGAGAAAGAAAGATTAAGAAAGAAATAATTGGCTATGGAGAAAAAGTTATTAAATGAAAAAACTAAAAAAGAAACAGAAAACATGAAAATTTTGAAAAAAAAAGTTGCAAAAAAAAAGAAAGCCTTGAAACGGAGTCAGAGTTCCATTTAAATATTGATGTTAATTATAAAATAAGACTCAGATAGTTATGATGAAACTCTAACCTTTTTAGTTCAAGAACTTAAATGATATGTACTAAAGTAATGAAATTGCTTTAAATTCTTTAGTATTAATTCATAATAATATAATTATTTCTAAAAAATAATGTTTATTTAAGTCTTTTTTATTTTATTTATACGCATAAAAACATTTAATAAAATGTTACTAATGAATTAAATTTTCATTTGACACCGCGAACTCAATTTAAACCGGGCGCTAAAGCAGATTTTAAAATATACGATAAGTGTCGACAATATATACGAAAAGTGTGAAACACTTACGATAAGTTTGGAAAACTGCGCTTTAAAAATTTGATCAAAATAAGTACATTAATGGTTTTAATTTCAGACTGAGAATAAATTTAAACTAACCCTTATAGTATTACATTGACGGCTGCGAAAATTCATTTCTAATGCATTTCTACTTTTTGATAAATCTAACATATTGCAATAACTTTTGTTAAACTCACGGTAAGTGTGGAAACGACCCTATATTATTATAAAAAATTATTAAATAAGCTAAGATATTTTTTTATTTTATAACAGAGCGATTCCACTATTGATTAAAGATTTTAGTGGCTTTGAAAATCGGCCAGAATTAGGACGTGGCCGGAAATAGGTCAGTTTAGCGTTAGTACTAACCGAACAAATTTAATAATTGAACAGATGCAATGGAGTTTTTGTGTTTTTGCTTTATTCAAATAATTCAGACTAAAATTGAAATTTGGCGCATCGCTCTTTGGGATTATTTAAATGTGATCCGCCGAATATGCTGTCAAAATATTGTCTTAACAAATCTTGCATTAATGTTTTATTTGTAAGATAGTAAACGCCTTACCAAAAAAAAAAAGGAGTGATTTTCCGAATTCTGGAGGCGGCTCCGAATCGGAGGTCCATACGAAGCCGCCTCTGGACATACATACATCATTGTTAAGGAAGGTGTGAACTTCCTAGTTGAATACTATTCATGGGTAATCTGTGATAAGACCGTTAAGACATCTGGGAGCACCTAAACAAATAATGGAAAAAAAAAAATTCTAATATAAAATTTGCGAAGCATTACGGCAGATCATGCGTTGAAATTAATGTAGTGTGATCCGTCATCGTTGTTCTATGAAAAACAATGTACTTCAAAATTGAAAGTCGATGCGAACTTTGCAAAATTTAGCAAACTGCTCTTTTAAATTCACGTGAGATTGAAACCATTTATTGCGTTAAATAATAAATACTCTACTACTGTGAAAAAAGCTTTTATAATTTTAAATTTGTATTTTATACTAAAATGAGATAAAAAAAACTTTAGTATTTGACAAAATTAAATCTCAAAAATAAAAATTTAATTTAATAAGTTTTATTTGCAATTGCGTAATAAACTTAATAAGTTTCATTTGCAATTGCTTAATAACCTTAATAAGTTTTATTTGCAATTGCGTAATAAACTTAATAAGTTTCATTTGCAATTGCGTAATAAACTTAATAAGTTTCATTTGCAATTGCGTAATAAACTTAATAAGTATCATTTACAATTGCTTAATAAAATTAATAAGTTTCATTTGCAATTGCGTAAAATCCACATAGAAAGTCTTTTTGGCGGGATACATTGTTAATATTGAACTCCATAACTGCACTTTGTATACGCTCAAATTTTGAATTCGAAATTTTACATTTTATTTTAAGAACTAATTGTAAACGACAATAAATGTTAATTTTACCATCTTTGCAATGCTGGTTAGCAAGAGTTATCCAATGTTTTATAGTTTTTTAAAAATGGATCACTATTACATTGACATGCAAACACAGGATTGGGCCTTGTAAACCGTCAATATCAGGAATCTAGCGATTACATAAAATCATTGCAGCATAAAAAACTTTGTTATTTAAAAAGACCGGAATCGTGATGAGATTTCGACCAACAGTATTTAGAATTATTCTATCGAATTTAAGCTAAGCCTCCGCATCAATTGGAAACTGGAAAACAAAATACCATTTAATAAAAACCATTAATAAAAAAAATTGATATATTAACACTGAACACACCTTAAATCGTATTAAAACGTATTAAAACAAAATACCGTGTAATAAAAATCATTAATAAAAAAAAAATTGCTATATTAACACTGTACACACCTTTAATACCAATTTTAATATAAGTTTAATTGATTATATTATAAGAACAATAATTTGTTAAAGGTATTATTTATTCGTCAAATGTATTATTTTATTCGTCAAAGGTATTATTTATTCGTCAAAGGTTTTATTATATTCGTCAAAGGTATTATTATATTTGTAAAAAGTATTATTATATACATCAAAGGTATTATTTTATTTGTCAAACTTATAATTATTGCATCTTCGCTTATACTAAAGAAAATTAAAGTAATGCTGATGTTATAAAAGTTTTTTAAGCTGTGTAATGTGTAGCTTTTAAACTTAACAAGGTAGCAATTTTGAAGGCTTTTTGATAAAATTTAAAACTTTTTTTAATTGAATTTTGATTTTAGCTTGGGAGACTTGAAGTCTGAAGCATAAAATTATCTAAATCTTCAAACTATACATTTGTAATTTTTTTAAATTTACATTTGTAGTTTTTTTTTTACATTTGTACTTTTTTTCTTCCTATGTTACCTGCATTTAGTAGTAATAATATTTTTAAATTAAACGATATAAAAAATTAAATAATATAATAAACTAAAATGATATAATAAATTAAATGGGCAAATGAGATGTTAAAAACTTTTAATTAATATAAAAAAGTATTAGCTTTTGTTTGCTTAAGAAAAGAATTAGCAAACGGGATGTTAAAAACTTTAGCAAATTATCAATTTAAATAAAATAAAGTTTTATAAACTTTTTCAGTCTTCTAAATTAAATTTCTTTTAAAAAAATACAAAGTTTAAATTTTATGGTTAAATCTAAAGACGACCAGCAAGAGTTCACTGACCAAGCACTTCACCATGCTTGTCTAAACACACATTTATAGTAGTTACAATATTGGAGTAAGTCCAGACTTTCCACAAGAGAAAGAAAACATATTCAACAAAAGATTATGCTGCTTTTCAACAAATCTCATGAGCCATTGTTCAAGAATTGGGAAATATGTTTACAATATTTATATAAGTTTTATATTTATCTACTTGATGCTATGCTGATTGGTGGTTTAGATTGATTGGAGTTACATAAGCACATTCTACCATGAAAACAAAGAGCCTTGATCTTTTTCTTGGATTTTTGATAAAAAGTAAACACTTGATACATGTTCAACATTTTTATACTTATACTCATAAGGAGTTGTTTTTTTTTGTGTTGGTCAATCAAAATCAAAACTTTTATTTAATACAATTTAATGCAGTTTATCCAATACAGCTGCAATTTAGTCTGTTGCAGCTAAAAAAGAAGCTAATATCTTCGGCAGCTCAAAATAATTTAACTTGATTCCAAGTTCAGAATCAGTTTGTCACACTGACTGATTTTGAACTTGGAATCAAGTTAAATTATTTTGTTAGTGAGAACTTTAAGGAGTGCCACAATTTTCATAAGCTTTCTTATTCAGCAAGTTACATAAAAAGTTGTAGTTTACTTTGCAACAAATCTGATGATAAGCTAGAATGATAAAGTTTTATAAAAGGCCATATAAAGTTTTATATAAGGTCATATAAAGTTTTAGTTTACTATGCAACAAATCTGATGATAAGCTAGAATGACAAACAACAAATTGAAGTGTATGGGTAATGTTTTGGTAGGAAAACCAGTCAATCAGAACCTGACTCTTCAAAATCATTTCCTGCAACAACCTTTTGTTTAACTTCATCAGTGATTTCAAACAAATGCTTTTATTATATTAAAGGGATTGTCTGTAGTCAGTGCCATGGCTAATGTGTCCAAGGCCCACTATAAAAATTGTCAAAAGGGCCCTAAAATCTTACAAATTTTTCCATTAGATAATTCTAAAAAAAAACTCCTTAAATTTGCAAAAAAAAAAACCTAAACTTGCAAATGGGTTCCCTAAATTCATTGGGCCCCTCAATTGGGGTGTATAGGGGAGCCTAGTCATTGCTCTGTCTGTAGTGATGGTGATCTCAAAGATTTGAATGACTTCTTTTAAGTGTAATATAACTCTTTTTTTCTATTGAGTCAAAAAAACACTTACAGCTGAGCAAACAAATTCTCTTTTTGTAGTGAGCAATGAGGCAATATGTTTTTTCAATATATAAACACATGCATCTGTTATAACATGTATTAAGTGTCAAACATAACTTATTAACTGTAGTAAAAAAATATTTTAGCTTCATCCATATCTCAGCTGATTTATTTGGAAGTAGCTCAGTGGCAAGGTGTTTTAAGCTCTGCATTTAAACGCTTGGATTAAGTGCTTCACAGAATTTTTTAAAAGCCGTACTTTTCAAAATGACAAGCAGGTCTCCAGTAACAGTATCAATTAGATGTGGTTTGCTATCTATGGCCTAATGTCTTCCACTTAGATGATGGCACAGATTTTAAAATTTTTTTAAAGCTGACTGACATTTTTTTGGTGATAAATAATCTAACCAATTGTAAACACCTTGATGATGTTGCTATGTATAAAAATAAAAAATTTAAAAAATAAATACTAGTTAAATATTAGGATATTGAACTTTAAACATAGTAAAGAATGTGTATTAACACAATAAGATTACTTGAGATGAACAAATAAATTGGATGTTCCAGTATGATATACACTCACTTCTTTACCATAATATTTGCGATCATAGTTAAAACAACTTATCTTTTCTGCATTCTTTGAATTATTGTTGAATTATCAAAAATGGTGCTTAGAATTACCAAAACTAAGTGCTTGTACTTTTAGTATTTAAATTTATTTGTATAAATGTTTGTTAGATTATAAATAAAAAATACCACCCGTTTTTTCTCATAAAAACAATAATACATTTATCAGGGCGTCATATGGTATATAGGATTTTTTTGTTGTTGTTGAAAGTCTTAGAAGGCACCCCCAAAAAAGATTTTCTATGAACCCATGATAATGCACAAAAAAGTTGAACAAGTTTTAGAGATCCCTCAAGATCATCAAAGTTTTGAAATTTAGACATAACTACCCTGTACACGATGTACAATGGCATACTTTGGCAGGGTTTTTGAGGCTCAATATTGACCACTCAATTGTTCTTTGTATTTTCTTAAACACAAAGAAATTTATTTAGAAAGTAGCTGCTGTCACGTGACCAATTGACCATGCCTTCATCTTCCCTGTTGTTTTCACATTTCAGATTAAAAAAAGTTTTTTTTTTACTAGATTCTGAAATGAAATATTTTAAATCTAACTGTTAAGAATTCTACACTATTGGTAACAAGATAATTTTTTTTTAACCATGCTAACAGATAACCATGACAGATATGTTGAAAAACAGACAACTTTAAATTATTCTTAGGCATGGCAAATTGTCAAAATGTATATAATACAATTGTAAAATATATTAATATTCATAATAATATAATGTTTAGAGATAATTTATAAGATAGATTTATGGAGATATAATAAAGAGATATAAATAAATATATAATAGATATAAATGGGTAAATAGAGATATAATAATAGATATAAAAAATTATAAATTTATAATTAAAATAATAATGGCTTTACCATTTGTAAGCGTACAAGAAATCTTTTGTAAGTCTACTAAAAGTCAAGGCAACATCTGGCTGATTGGTTTTCCGAATAAAACAATATCTGGAGCTCGGCCTCCTTCAGGATGTGACGCCATGCAAAACTTTGGATATCATCATTGGTTCTAAAAATAAACAATGACAGTAAAAGCCATATGTATAAGCAGTTGTTACCACTCTGAAGTAAGTCCAGAAATCCTACAAGAGACAGGAATCATATTTTGGAAAAGATTAAACTGCTTTTCAACAAACTAACCTCATAAAATAACAGATGCATCATTCCTGGTGACAAAATAAAACTAGAGAAACTGTTCTATTTTTATGTTGGTGAATTATACATGTTAGAAATCTCGTAGATATGTGTTGAAAGTCACGCGTCAATTGAATGTTTATCAATTGTAATTAAAAGTATTCTCATGAGACTTTTTTTTTATTTTGTATATATAGAGACAATTTTTGTGTAGAGAGAGTGAGGTTAGAAGAAAGCTATAAAATAATACGTTTTGTTTATTCAACTCATGGATGCGACGATCCAACAGAAACAGGAGCAAGATGCAGAATAAAAACAACACTTTATGCAATTAAAACTGCAGGTTGTAGCTTCTGTCTGCAGCCATCAGGAAATACTGTCTTCATCACTTGAAGACAGCATTATAAAACTTCTTGGCATTCCAAAGCTACTTTGCGGTTTGGGAAAAAATGCTGCTAATACAGTTGCACTTTTGAAGTCATGACAGTGTGATTTGAACATTGTTGGAATATGCTATGACAAAACTGCCTCCAATATATTGGAAGAAAGAATGGAGCTGCACTCTAAATTGAAAAATGATTGGCTATAATTTATGATGGTTGGCCTGTTGCCATCAAATGTTTTAGATTCTTCTTAGATTTTGAATAAAATTAGACAAAAACAAAAACTTAATGGTTACTCAACATACTATAAACTTGATGGAAGAATGATGGAAGATTTGAGTTCAAAATTCAAATTCAAACTAAATAATTTTTTAAATTATAAAAATAAATATAATATAAATGTTTCTTCATTTTTTATTATTCTCTAAAATTTCTGATTAGAAAACCAACAGTTTTTTCCCTTTCTTACCAGCAAGTGTGATATTGATAGTTTTTATACCTTTTTCTCAGACTGTAAACTGCTTGAACCTTTATTAGGCTTCTTGTCCAGAATATTATCAGGGGTGCAGTAGAACAAACTTTAAAATGATGATCACATACCACTGTTTACTTTTTTAAAATTGAAAGTTGCTCATTATAGGACCACAGCACGCAATAAACCTACAAAAAAGATTTTAAAAAACCATATTAAAAACAAAATTAGACAAATAACTAAAAAGTTTTAATGCACTAGTTTAAGATAACGGAATGAAACAATTTTCAAAACAATTAGAAGCTAAAATGAAAACAAACAAAGAACGAAAAAAGAAAAAAAAATCAAACCTGATAAAGAGTTTTTATAAACAACATTGTTTAGTTGATTTAATGATACTGTGTAACTTTTTATTCTAATATTTATTCTATAAAAATATAAAATAAAAAAAGCAACAAAAAAATTTAAAATACAGTTATTTTAATTTGCGTGTATAACTGATAGTCTTACAACAAGTATATTAGTTTTGAAAATGTTATTTGCATTGGGTCTTAAACCAAAAACATATTCTTTTTCTTGTTCATTAGAAAACACAAATGAAATAAAAAATAAGGAAACTGGTCTAAAATTGCCTTGCAGTATTCCTAAATGACAGATTTTAGGAGAAAAAATTAGCATCATGTTGGTATACACCTACAAAATTGTTTTTTTAATGATACCATTACAGAAAACTATTAAGTAGATGAATAAATTAGCATTAATTAAAACCAACATTTAGATATACTATTTTTAGTTTAAGAAATTTCTTAGTAAGTTTCTCAAAACTGTATGAACAATAATTAAAAACAAACAAACAATTTAATAAGCAATCATCCATAAAGTAGGTGTACTTGGATGGGGGAGAGAGGGTTTGCAAATGGCATATATGAGATAGGGGGCAGGAGGCCAGTTACAAAAGTAAGGAGACAATAAATTAAAAAAAATTAAAAAATCTTGGGTAATTAGGTTGTGTAGGTACTTATAGGGAGGTGGAGGCTACTCAAAAAGCATATAGCAAAATGCAGGAGGGGAGGAGGGGTTAGGGTAAAGATAAAAGCATACAAACTTTATGGATGACCCCTAAACAGTGCATTTTAAATAAACTTTTATGTTTTAAACTCCATTTTAAATTTATATAAAAAACTTACATGCAACAATTAGTGTTTTTTGAAAAGTCTTATTAGTTAAAAGAAAACTCAAGTTTCATCAAAAAATTGTAATAACTAAAATATTTATTTAAACAAATGAAGCTAATTAAAATATATCACATGAATTATAACAGAATATAAAAAATTTTATAGCAAAAATATCACACATTATATAACAAAATAAAGCATATATAAACAGTAGCTTTTTAAAACGTAAGAAAACCATATTAAAAATACTTCTACACAAATATTTTGATAACAACTTTGTTTGATAATTTGTCTTAACAACTGTTTAAAAATGTAACAGTTAAACACTTTGAATTAAAGGAGTTCTTTCATTAATAAGTAATCCATTTCTAATATAAACTTTACATAAAGGACAATCATTCTTCTCAAGAAACCACTTTTCTATACATTCTTTATGATAGCAGTGTCTACAAAAAAGCAAAACAACTTTTTCTTTAATAATAAAATCTTCTAAACATACTGTACATCTTGTGTTTTGAAATAATAACCTCTTTTTTAAAAAAAAACATCCATTTAAAACTTTTAAGTCTGGATTAAATTCCAAATATTGAGAACTCGAACAAGAAATCTTATTTTTAAGTCTTTCTATACAACCATCATTTTCAGGTTGAACTTCACGCTCTAACTCATCCCAACACAAGTACTGAAACATTATGTAACATTGTTTAAAGCAAAAAAAATAACATATAATAAGAATGATAATGATGACCATGACAATACTTAAAAGAAGAATAGCCCATTCCATTCTTAATCAGTTGTAAAAAGAAACATTTATTCTAAAACAAATATATCTGTGTGTTTTTGAATATGCTCAAGATAGATATCTACAGTTTTATGTCAATGATTTACCATTGCATATTATAAAACTAAATAAAAAATATAAAAATATAAATATCTAAATGATTACTAAATATCTAATAATATATAGGGATATGTGTGTTTATATATATATATATATATATATATATATATATATGTATATATATATATATATATATATATATATATATATATATATATATATATATATATATATATATATATGAATATAAACAGAGAGTGGATGCGTTGGTGATGAAAACTAGTATCAAAAATATCTCATTCCTTCATGATTATAAAATTGTATGAAACTAATATCAAATATAAAAAAAAGAGAGAGCTGAATTACATCTTCATCTTCCCATTTCCTTATTTATGTATTGTTTTACTGTAATTTTTTGATTTAAAATGATAAGATTTAGTATATAAATATTTTTTACTACATTACAAGATATATCAGTGTGTTTTCTTGATTGTCTAAGAGTATATTTATATATCTTATATAGTGTCATAACTCAAAACATCTTCACAGTAATAATGAAAGCAAAAATCATGCTGTCATATCATTATAATCATATCAATAAAGCATAAATTTATTACTGATCGTAAATTATCTGGTTATCTATAAAAAAGTGAACTTAAATTAAATTTACAATCTTTAAATGTTTGTAAATTTTGCATCTTTTGTAAAAGTATTTGAACTTTGACATTTTACTATCCTATAGTGAAAAAATGCTTAAATTCATTGAGATTTTCAAAAAAAAAAAAAAAAAAAAAAATGAAACAAAATTAATTCCAAAATTGAAAAACTGTTAATTATTTATCAATTTAATAAGTAATATAAATAAATTTTAACTATCTTTATAAAACCTTTTTTATAAAAATAGTTAAAATAACTCATCTATAGAGAAATAAAGCAGTAAAATTTTTACTGCTTTATTTCTCTATAGATGAGTTATTTTAACTATTTTTATAAAAAAGGTTTATAAAGATAGTTAAAATTTAGATAGTTAAAATATAGAGAAATAAAGCAGTAAAAATTTTACTGCTTTATTTCTCTATAGATGAGTTATTTTAACTATTTTTATAAAAAAGGTTTATAAAGATAGTTAAAATTTATTTATATTACTTATTAAATTGATAAATAATTAACAGTTTTTCAATTTTGGAATTAATTTTGTTTCATTTTTTTTTTTTTTTTTTTTTTTGAAAATCTCAATGAATTTAATTTTTATGTGAATATTTTATAAATTTCTTAACATGTGTGTATGCACATTTATTTTTTATTAAAAAATAAATGTGCATACACACATGTTAAGAAATTTATAAAATATTCACATAAAAATAATTATTGAGATGAAAAATTTAACTTGTGAAATACGGCATTAAATAATCAAAAACAAAAATACTGAACAAGCCAGTATTCATATCTAAAGTAACAATACTGAATTAGTCAGTAAAAAAATTTAGTGATTTATCTTTTTTAGAGCATAATGATCTATGCAATCAGAAAACCTAATTTATGTTTGAAAATTAAGTAAAAAATTTATTTATAATCACTCAATGAAAAGTAAATTATAGTTAAGTGTAATTAAAATGCTGAAATTCTTTACAAATGTTATAAAAATATTTGTGTTACCTACGTCAAACGTCAAAACTCATCAGGAATTTTTTTTGTACGCACATTTATATAAAATTTAAATTTAATATAAATTTGTCAGGATTGTCCAGAATAGTGAGATAATAATTTTCGACTGTTTGAAATTGCAAAAACTTCACTTTCAGTTTCGTTTTCAAAAGGCAGCAGTCGATAATGTTATACAATTACGTATTAATAAAACGTTGTAATTAACATAAAAATTATACTATTATTAATAGGTGCATGACTTACGTTTATAATTGAACCCCCGATTTCTTATCATCTTGTGATTGTGAATTCCCGTCCTCTTGCGGTACGGCAAAAAACGCGTTTAGTTATTCCGACTAGCTTTAAATGCCTTGCACTAGTTTTATCTCTACATAAATTTTTTTACAAGCCAGATAGCAAATATTTTTGCATATATATATATATATATATATATATATATATATATATATATATATATATATATATATATATATATATATATATATATATATATATATATATATATATATATATATATATATATATATATATATATATATATATATATATATATATATATATATGATAATAAGAAGACTGATAAAATAGGGATAAGAGATGCTGCTTTCCAGCAGACTGGAAAATATGACACTGATAAAGACTTGTTAAATAATTTTAAAAGTATAGATGACAGCTTCAGAGAACAGTTCTACAAGACTATAAATGGTATGTTGTCCAGACCACAAGCTGTAAAGGAGTCCAAGCAAGAAATTACTTTAAATACGGAAGCTGAAGTGATACAAATGTCAGACAACGGATCAACCTGTTTTACGGTTATATCAGGTTAACTGTTTGTCGGCTATATATGTGATTAGTGGAATTAAGAGATGTGTTTTATAAAAAGTTCTGAGAAAACAATGCATCTTTCTCTTTAGGTGAGATAACAAAATCTGAACCATGCAAGAGATAAAGAATGGATCAAGATTTTCCAGAAGTCTCGGGAGCCTAAATTTTGGGATGAAATACAAGATTTTGTAACCTGAAAATAGCAGGGTTTTTTTCATTAAACAAAACCTTTTTACAATGGTTTCTAGCAATAGTAAACAGACGTCTGTTTTATAGAGAACAGTTTATGCGATAGATATTGAAGTAAAGGTTACAATTAGAAATTTCACCATTAGAGGTAAACCATGGAGATGAGTGAGGCTTGACTTGGAATCATTAAGAGGGAAAAAAAGATTATTTGTCAGTCTGTATCCAAAAAGTTAAGAAGCACATTTTTCAGTAAGAAGACGAAAGTTTTCTACCCAAGGGCCATCACAAAATCACGAAAGTCAGCTTTTAAAGTAGTTGCAAGAGGTCCAATTATAAGAGGATTCTGATGATGATATTAAGATAGTAAATATTAAGATAATATTTTTTCAATTTGTTTTTTCAATATTCTTTAATTTTTTACCAGAAGCACTTAAGGGTGAATATAGAGAAATCGACTACTGACTAGGATAAGAAACAAGACATAAGTCGAGTATAGAAGGTAAATGATTCAAATTGCTTGGAAAGCGAGTTGGAAAGTTGACTATTTGTGTTAGAGAAAAACCAAATGCTGTCGACCTTAATACCTGCAAAGTCACTGACATTAGAACCAATCAATTTAGTGTGACGAGCATTAACGATATTAACAATTTGAATCTACAAATTTAACTTTGTGAATTTTTTTCTTTTTTATTTTGTAATCATATATTTTGATTCAATTTATTTACCGCTTTCCTTTGTTCGAGAATAATCTTGACTTTTTTTTACTATTGTCTTTTTCTTTATAATATGTTTCTACCTCAACCGTTGGTAAACCTTTTCCCGCTGTTATTTGTAACTTCAAACATTTGCTTACAACATAACTAAAATCAGATTTAGGAATATTATCAACATTTTTTTAAACGATTCTGCAATATTGAATTAAGTTTTTATATTATTCTTTTATTAACATTATATTCACATTGTAAATTGTATATGGCATTACTTCACTTATTTCGTTAGGGACTGTCCATTAATGTGAATGTGACAATCCTCCTCACTTTAATTTTAAACCTTATCCATTTTTACAGTGAAAACCAATTTTTTCTAATAGCCTAATATAACAAAAAATGCATTCAATAAATCGTATAGACTAGGAGTCGGCAAACTTTTGAAACGGACAAGCCAAAAGTTATAATTTACAAAATCTTTTAGTTTTTTAAAGATCTTCTAACATCTTTATTTCAATATGGATATTTGCGCAATTATTAGGGCGTCTTGACAACGAAAGAACCACACAAGGCTTGCGAGCCGCAAGTTTGCGTACCCCTAATATTAAAATTTAAAAAATATAATGTAGACAATGTACTCGCATAAATATTGTTTGCACAGCAGGCTAACCAACAACAACTTTGAAAAAATAATAGTGTTACGAGTAAACATCTCGTGTGTGTTTATTTAGTTTTGCATTTGTCGGGTCTTTGTAAACCACGATACGATTT